GGGGGGGGGGGGGGGGGGGGGGATAATCCCATATATGGATGGGCTAGATAGGTAAGTACCGCCTGATAGGGTATGGTTTTTGTCTTTGGTGTGATCCTTAGATAGGGTAACTCAAGTAGTAATGGATGGTTTATTCCATCCTTTCCATTTTGTGGAAAAACAGTAAACCTTGTGTGACAAGATAAGCCTGACAATAATATTGTTTGAAAGAATTTTACGCAAAACTTAACTTTCCTTTGATCAGATTTTTTTGTAAAAGACCAGAAAGCACTAAGGTTAAGTGAAGATCACGACAAAACACGTGATTAATAGCCCTGTCACGCTTGTCACACTCGAGCGTTTTGCCGTCCTCCTCTTCTTCCTGCCGTCCTGTTGCGTAAACTCAATATTGTCAAGATGATGGTGTTATTTTAATAAGTACTAGTTGTTGAATTTTTATATAAACTCATCTTTGCATTTGTTGGGACTTTGGTGAATCAGGCAGCCTATGTATAAAGTATAGAGTACATTTTTACCAACACATGTTGTACCATTCCCTGTATATTTAGGTTTGCATGCACAGGAATACGATCCTTGGGTATTTGTACACACTGCGTTGACATCACAGCTGTGAGCATTGCTAGAACACTCGTTCACGTCTAAAAACGTGCGATAATATTTCACGTTAGGTTTTCATTTATCTGTAAGTTCCGTCTGATATGTTTTTAATTATAGAAGCTTTTAGCCAAAAACTCATACTTGGTTAAGTAAACACTTTTAACTGGTATTTTCTCTTTCATTTTCTAACTTACCATAACATGTTTTTCCATCCCCTGTATATCCCGCCTTACACGAACAGGTGTGTGAGCCCGCAGTATTTTGACAAACAGCGTTGACGTCACAGCTATGAGAGTTCGTAGTGCACTCATTTATGTCTGAAAATAAACAATTGATAGTGAACAAAAGTATGTTCTAACACAGTCAAAATTGACAACGCCATTATCTCTTTATGCTAAGCATTTTTTTCGCATGCGAAAGGATATCATTGAAAGTATATTTATTGTTAGCATCAAAGATCATTTCAACGAAAATAAATACTTTAAAGCGAGGTAAAATTTTGTAAAGCATGGCTTAGGCTTCCCTACCACACAAGCCTTAACAAACCTTTGCAAGTTTTTCCGTTTCCAGAAAAACCAACTTTGCATCTGCAGCTATAAGACCCACCATTATTCGAGCATTGAGCATTGACGTCACATACGGGAGAAGAGGCAGTGCATTCGTCGATATCTGAGTAAAAAAAGAGCAACACACGCACAAGTATACCCCCCTCAAAAAACTTTTTTAAACACTTTAGCACGCGAAATAAATAATATCTTTACAGCATAAACAAACCTTGAGTCAGGTGTTGAGTTAACAGTACAGAGACAACTGGGTTATAAAAGATCATAAAAGAGAAAAAAAAAAGAGAGATACAAGAAGGAATGGTTGCATATGAAAAACTATTGCATGTTGCAAAGACAAATGAGTTGTCCTGATAAGTTGGCACTGATACCGGCAGTTTTGTGTGAGAAGGATTCAATGGCTTTGTTGTGAACGACATTGACGCAGGCATTGACGCTATTTCAGTCAAATCGCCTGTGATGCACTGCCGGATGATCTCATGCTGGTTGATATTTACAGTTCTTGATAACACGCAACTGGTTAGTAACTTCCAGCTCCTTTACGGAAGAAAATGACCACGCTCTTATTCAGTAATCTATTTATTGTTAGCATCAACGATCATTTCAAAGAAAATAAATACTTTACCGCAAGATAAAATTTTGTAAAGCATGGCTTAAACTTCCTCACCACACAAGCCTTCACAAACCTTTGCAAGTTTTGCCGTTTCCAGTAAAACCAAGTTTGCATCTGCAGCTATAAGACCCACGAGTATTCGAGCATTGAGCATTGACGTCACATACGGGAGAAGAGGCAGTACATTCGTCGATATCTGAGTAAAAAAAGAGAATTTTGATTAAAACCTGTCTTCGCTATAGCAACATACGCACAGGTATGCCTAAAACTTTTTAAACACTTTATCACGTGTTATAAATAATATGTTTACAACATAAACAAACCTTGAGTCAGGGGCACTTACGACTGTTTTCTGTAAAATATCTGTTCGGAGAAGCAAATATTGCCCAGAATTTTCTATAGCTTGAAGGCGGCTAAAAATTTCTAGTTGACCGTCCCATTCACGTACAATTTTCGAAGCTTATCTAAATAAATTCCCTACGATTTTCTTGAATTTGATTTTTCACATTTCACGTCCCCAGGTTAGGCTATTCTTGTAGAAAAAAGAATACCTAAAATTTTCGAATTCAAAAATATGATGGAGAGAGGAGTCAGAAAAAATCTCACTTTCGTAATACGTTACATTGCATCTAAAATTTTCGGTAAATTATAATCACTGAAGCTGTTGTAATTTCGAATCGACTCAATTTTCCCTATGATGACGGAACAAGTATAAATTTTATAGCGCCACTTAGAATGCATTTCTAGAGATCTAAAAGTACTCTTGATAGCCTAAAAAGTATTTTCAGTCTCTTTAGGAGGAAACCGTCGTTAGGTGCCCCTGTTGAGTTAACAGTACAGAGACAACTGGGTTATAGAACAAGAGAGATACAAGAAGGAATGGTTGCATGCATGGGGAAAGGAAACAAAGATATCAGTAGGCTATTGCATAGCAAAGACAAATGAATTGTCTTGATAATTTGGCACTGATACTAGCAGTTTTGTGTGACAAAGATTGAATGGATTTGTTGTGACCGACATTTATATTGACGCGGCCATTGACGCCGTTCATGTCAGTCAAATCGCCTGTGATACACTCCCTGATGACCTCATGCTGGCTGATATTGACAGATCTTGATATCACGCAACTGGTTAGTATTGGTACTGGCTAGTCAGAAATCTAACAACAAATCTTACACTCTCGGCCCAAAGCCGAAATCATAATTGGTCAGGTCCCTGGATGTGCTGTTGCCTGTTACCACCCGTAACATCAACCTGTCACTAATGAGTTTGGTCTGTTTTCGGACAAAAGGAGGAAAGGATTGGCCAAGCGTTGGCTTAAGTGCTGCAACCTACTTGACCTGTCAGCTACCTTCAATTTGTGTAAAAACTGACTGAGCGGGATGTGTTTGATAAAAAACAGAACCACATAATGAATTTTGGTCTCTATCCACTTTTGCCGTCACTGGTTACCGCTAGGGTTATAATAATGGAAACCGCTTTACTCAAGGACCAAAATGACATGTTATCTAAATATAGACAGGCAACTTAATAAATAAATAAATAAATAAGAAAATACAATCCCCAAATGAATTAATAATAGTCAAGATATAATTAATCAAATAAACTCAGCAACAAATATTTTAATTTCGCTAAGAGAACTGGTGAACTGTACAGCCCCTGAAATGATCCCGACCTTAGCCTGCAGAGTAGTTTTTTTTTTTTTTTTAACGAAAGAAAAAAAAAAAAAAAGACATTATAAAAATAAAATAAAAATAGGAAAAAAATAATTTATTAAAAAAAATAATAAACAAAAATAAAAAATAAAACAAAAAAAATAGTGATCTGTATAGCCCCTAAAATAAACCCGAACTTAGACTGAAAAGTAGTTTTTTTTTTTTTTTTTTAACGAAAGCGCTGCCAAGGGGTACATTGATAACGGCCGCCATCATAAAAGCGACTGGAAAACTAAGGGAGGAGGGGCGAGCAAGGATGGGGGTGGGGATAAAAGGGAATCATTTCGGGGTCGAAGGAAAACAAATTGGGGATCATTTCGGAGTCAATATATCATTTCGGAGGCTGTACAGTTATATTTACCTTCAGTCTTCATATCGCAATAAGCGAGCAAAGGGATACCAGGTTTAATGGTACTCAGCCAGTACTTCTTGCTCTTTGCCTCCCCTTCACTTGCTTTGATTTCTTTGCA